GACTTGGGCGAGTTTGGATGGGCGCAGGCGGTGGAGAAAGGAGGCTGAAGATGGCAGCTAGAATTACGGAGGAGCGACGCTGCCGACGAATTGCGTCGATTTGGACTGAGAAAAAAAAAAAGAAAAGATAGGTAACTGACGGTTCACGACGGTCGTCGGTTGTGGGCGGTAGCAGAGAAGCGTTGCGCGGCATAAGGAGAACTAGAGCAACACTGGTGTGATGAAGTGAACAGGACATTGTTCCATCGAAGAAGGCAATCTCGAAATTGTATTTTTTTTAATTGTTATTACTTAATTTTAAATTTTATAATTTTTTTAATTTTAATTAAAATATTTACTTATATTTGTGTTAATCTATAATTATTTTTACTAATATATTTATTAATTATTTACTAATTATACATTATCTAAATTCTCTATCTACTGCAATAAACCCAAAATATATGAGACGGAGGAAGTATTTTTAAAAGTAAATTCACCTCAATCATTATAAGACAAGACTTTATATACAATTACTCATATTATTTAATATATATATATATATATTCATTGTGTATAAACAATCCGATAGAAATTCCAGTAAGACAAATACGTCTTCTATTATCATTTATGGACATTTGGATATAAATGTTAGCTTAATATTTCAAAATATGAAATATTAATATTGTATTTATTTTATGGGATAATTTGAATGAGTAATTTTTTTATATGAAGTATGAAAAAATATGTAGGTAATATAAAAATAATATTTGTGTATAATATATCAATATTTTTGAATGAACATGTAAAAGAAAAAAAAATAAAGAAAACACACCCTAAAACTTGAATGCTAAAATTAGATAGAATTTGACAACCAATTATTATGATTTTATTACTAATAAATTTAAATAAAGTTATGATGGTATCACCATTAAAAAAAAAAAAAAACTATTAAAGATATTGAAGTAGCTAAAAATATCAACTTTTCAAAATGATAGTTAATTTATTTAAATCAAAGTGATAACAAAAATTAAGCTATTAGTAATGTATTTATTGATTATTGTGAAATTCAATATATTTTTGTTAAGGAGTATGTTTAGATGGTTTATTTAATAAATAAAATATGTTATATGATGCTAATTCAATGAGGAAGTATTCTATATATTATGTGAAGGAATATGTTTAAATGGTTTATGTGACATATAAAATCATTTATAAGATATTATTTCAATGAGTATGCATTCTTAATCAATGCATATTATTTATTATTCTTGAGTTATATGCATTTTTAAGAGATTGTTCTCATGCTTATAAAATCAATTAAGTTATAAAAGTATATAAGAGAATATGTATAACTACTATTATCTATTAAAATAAGATTGGAGAGAATCCAAATACATAAGAAAATATATTGTAATTTTACATCATAGAAAAGAAGATTTACCTTATTATTTAATCAGCCACTAATATTGTCATATTTTGGTATTATTGATTATTATCATTATTATCATTATAAGTATTATTGATATTATTTGTGTGGGCATTGTGATGAATTGAAAATTACCGTGGAATTTAAAAGATATCAACCCTATGATAATTTTAAAACTCTTCTGATTAGTGAATTATATTTTTTTACCGGTATTGTAAAATGTATTCTTTGTGTTGAACAAGTTGTTGTATAATAAATATATATTGATGTACAAATTTTAATTTTATTGGTTAAAAGTTGAGAAAATTTACAAGAATGACCAAGATCTTACTCGCTCACACGACTAGTTTGTAAGGATAATTATACTTTAATTTATCTTAATATAATATTTTATAATAATGAATAAATAAGAATATTTTCAACATAAAAAATTAAATAGTCACAAGCATTGGTATTATAAATGTACATTTTCAATTGAAAGAGAAGTTGGCCTTTCAAATTTATGTATTTCTACTATCTTTCAACAATTGTTAACAATTGATAATAAATAAATAATGGTAATCAACCATAGTAAATTGATGAAGGCTACTTGTTTAAAAAAATAAAAAATAAAAAATTCTTGAAATAGTAAAATAATGTTAAAATCCAAATTAATGGTAAACTAATGGAACCAATGAGTCGATCAAATCTATGATCAGTATCATAAATGACATAAAAGATACTAAACTAAGACATAAAGTATTGTAAAATAAAAATAAATTAGACTAACTACACGGACATGAGATAGAGATTGATGTAGATTTATCAACAATAATAATTGTAAATATAACGCATGTATAATTTTATAAAAAAATATACTAACTAAACATGTGAATTAAACAAAAGAATTAGATTGTACAAACCTAATGAAAGCAAAATTGGTAGAATAAAATATTAAGCTTATGAAAATTTTGAAATAAGAAACTATGATGATATTATAATTGCCATGACAAAGAAAATTGTCTTTTCTTTACAAATTATATACTTCATAGCATAATATTAAAAGGGGAAAAAAAATTAATCTGTTCAAACTTGATCTCAAAATTTAAATTTAAATTTTAAAAATGTAATAATATACAGAGAAATGAGTATTCTTGTGGCAAACAAATTTAAACTATTGAATTTGATCTTTCATTTCAAATTAATTACGGTAAAATTAATCACAATTTTTATATCCTCTCACAAAATTAACATGATATCATCCCAACGGTGAGCACTATATCAAGTTAGTATTAATTTGAGCATATTTGCACAATTTTTAATGTCAATTATAACTGTAGCACCAAATTAATAATGTTAAAATACTAAAATTCACACTAATTTGACACGATGCCTTCGACGCCAAAATAAATTTTCTAAAAATAATGAATACCACATATCATAAATACATTCTAATAGATATGTGCACCCAAATCAATCATCCACAATTTATTACCAACATACATGTTCTATTTCATTCAATTCTTATTCTAATTAGGTCAAAAAAAAAAAAAAAAAAGATGGAATGTTATTATCTGAACTATTTGATTGGACTCAATTAAATTGGATGCAATATTGGATGTCCGGTAACGACAACCACTCACTCTTCACTTTTTCAACCATTTCAAAATATGTGTATTTATTTTGTAAGATTATTGGAAAAAAAATATTTTTATGTCAATTATAAATAATTATGTAGAAAATATAAAAATAATGAGTATATATAATGTATTAATTTTTTTAAAATAATGTATAATAAAAATATATTAAAAGAACAAAGTAACAAATAACAAAGTATATAATACAATACAATATACATCTAATAAAACCACAAAGTAACACGTGGTAGGCCCATTGCCAGCTTGTCAACGTGCTAATTGTTGGTTCCACCTCTATATATATATATATTATAAAATAATTTGTACATAAATATAATATATTTATAAATATGTATATATTATTTTCCATACAATGCATGAATAATGGTGCATTTTTCTTCCGTAGTAGGTACTGCAGCAACTTGCAAGTTGGATTTAATAAATTATGGGTTGCCAGTCAAGTGCAAGTGCAAGTGCAAAAAGCACATCCCATTAATTTTTAATATAGATATATTCATTAATTTTAATTTTAATTTATATTCCATCTGCCTGCCTTGCGGTTCGGATACCTTTGTAAATTGACTTTACACTATCAACTAATATACTGCCATTTATTAGTATTTGGATCGGTTATATTACAGCTAGCTAGCTAGCGGTCTCAATCTTCAGTCGCTATTCGAAAGTACGCACTGGATAAACCTCTGATCGTACCTAATACCCCATGCTTCGTTCCTTTTAATTTTTTTTTATTTAAACCCTCTTATTATTTCTTATTTAATGATAAATATAAATTAAAATGAATGGGTCGGTTTCAGTTTCAAACTTTAGTTAAACTGTCTTTTTTATTATTATTAATACGCGTTCTTAATTTTCATACAATTATTTATTTAGCGTCGGTCCATTATTATTATTATTATTATTATTATTAGTTCAAGGTGGAATTCGTTCATATCGTTGTAAACTTTACATGATATTTAAACGCTCTATTTACAATTATCATTTTTTTACTAATATATTATTGAAGGTTAGGGTACTGTAACATATAGCACATATTATATCACATAACAAATAAATACATAACATATAGTATTTTATATTAATGTAATATGAAAAATTGACAACATATATGATAATAATTTACACCAGACACCATCGTAATCAACGCATATCATCTGTTAGTACAATACAAACAAACAATTTACTATAATTTATGTTTATATAATACAATGCATAATATAACAATACGTGACAATAATTCATACATATATCACATATTACCATTAATCTAAATGAATATTCCATGTTAATACAACACAATATATAATACGCAATTCACAATGCATATTAATTATATACATGACACATATTTCGATAATTATATATATCAAATATATCATTTTTGGGTTTGTTTCATTTGTAATTTATAAAGGAAACGTCCTTAAATTTGACGGGCAGAGTGTGTGTGCGTTTTTTTTATGGTATATATAAGAAATTATATTGATAATATAAAAAATAATATTTTATACTATATGATTGACTTTTTACTAGTAAATAACTATATATAATTTTATTAATTTTTGTTAACTATATATTTAGAAAATTACTCCTAAAAAAAATTAAATGAACAAACTCATTATGTCTTAGCTGATTAATTCGTTGTTGATTAGCTTCAATCAACATATTGTAATCAGTCTGACTATCAAGTATTTCATTAATCAGTTGTGGTACGACACAACTAATTAACAAAATAAAACAATACATATATATATATATAATCACATAAATTTCAACACCAACTAACAATAATAATATCTTAATTAACTACTAATTAATCTCCAAACACACAAGATAACAAAAATAAATAAATAAAAAATAATCTCCATTATAATTTCAATTTAAAATATTAATCAAAATCCAGCTCACCCCCACAAACCCCAACCCACCTTATCCCCATTAATACCATCATCCCCATCCCAAACCCCAAAAAAAGTATAATAAAACAAAAAAAACCCCATCCCCTCCCCCCACCACCACCATGACGGCGGCGCCGGCAATTTTCGCTCTCCTCCTCTCTCTCTCCACCATCCTCCCGTCCACAAACGCCCAATCCGCCGCCCCGGCTCCGGCCCCTTCCGGCCCGATCAACATCACCGGAATCCTCGACAAGGCCGGCCAATTCAGCTTCTTCATCGGACTCCTCCGGCGCACTCAGGCGGATTCGCAGATCGACAATCAGGTCAACAACTCCCGCGACGGAATGACGGTGTTCGCCCCGACGGACAACGCCTTCAACAACCTCCCCGGCGGCGCGTTGAACAACCTGAGCAGCCAGCAGCAGGTGCAGTTGGTGCAGTACCACATTTGCCCCAAATTCTACTCCTTCGAAGACTTCCGCAGCGCTCCCAACCCCGTCCGGACTCAGGCCAGCGGCCAGGACAACAAGGTCTTCGGCCTCTACATCGCCGCCGAAGCCAATCAGCTCAACATCTCCACCGGCGTCGTCGACGTCCCCGTCTACGAAGGCAACGCCGTCCGGAAAGACGCGCCGCTCGCCGTCTACCGCCTCGACAAGGTGCTCCTGCCGCGGGAATTCTACGACGCCGACGCCCCGACGGCTTCGCCGCCGGCGCCGCCTGCCGCCAAAAAAGGCGGCTCCGGCTCCGGTTCCGGTTCCTCCGCAGCCGCCGCCCCGTCTACTGAGAATCCCGCCGGAAATGGCGCCGGAAGGATCGATTTGGGGTTAGGGCTGACGTCAGCGGTCGGTTTGTTGGGGTTGGGATTTTTGTTTTGAGGAAAATTATAAATCTGGCTGAGCTATAATTATTTGTTTTTTATTTTTATTTTTATTTTTATTTTTTCAAAATGTGTAATTTTATTGATTGTTGATGATCTGTGTTTGAGATTTGTGGTTAAATTATTTTTGATTTTCCAAGAATTTGATTTAATTCATTGTTAATGTTGGATCTCTGATTTCTGATTGGTTTTGGCATTGCAGAATTTAATTATTTTTTTATTAGTTTTAGATCCATTTTCATGAAATTCACATGCAACCACTGTATAATTATAATTTTTATTTTTTTAATAATGTTGTCAAGTTGAACGTAAGATTAGGGTTTCTGTCTGAATAATTAACAAATTAAATTATTGAATGTGTCTTTTCAATTTGATTATATTGATCATTGGATTCCTTGAGATTTATATTTAACTAACTTATCAATAAATTGTGTATTATTACCATTTCCATATTTTGACTATATACGTAAATGCATGCGATGTATATATAGTTTAGAGATTAAGGACATGGTTACATTTTATTTAAATATATATGTTATAGTAGAATACTTGATGGTCCTATTACATTTTATAAATGATAATGCAGATAGTGACCTAATAAGTCTATTTATGAAATTAACAAATTTTCAACGTATTGTTTATTTGAAAAGTTAGATATATATATATATATATATTTATTTTTATTCATAGATATATAGATGGTCCATGTAGAACTTCCAAAAGAAGCAAAGGGTCAGCCCCAACAGATGACTTTTGGAACTTTTTAATTTCACTGCCACATTAACAATTGATTATAAGTATTACTTCAATACAATTTTATATATATATATATATATATAATTCAATTCGATTTTACTGATGATACAAATGTAATTCAATTCACTTAGGGTGTGTTTGTTTGAGTCACTTAGGGTGTGTTTGTTTGAGACATTGGATTTTGAATCGGGAATTGTAATAGTTGTATAATGTGATATAAATAGGTGTTGATGTAATGTTCTGAATGTAAAATTAATTTTTAAGTATAATACAAAAAATGAAAAATGAGTGTTTGATTTGATATTTTTGAAAAAATGTTTTTTGAATAAATAGTAGAATTTTGGGTAAATTCTTGAAACGAACACACCTTTAAATGTTAATACCAACCACCCCTAAAAAAAAGTTTGCTACACATATATATATATATATACACACGACGCATTAGAGTGAAACAAAAAAAGAATGATCGGCGTATTTTTTATGTTTCTATATTTTGCAACATTGTGAAATAATTATTCAATATAATATTGTGAATATAAACAAATATTATATAGTAACACATGTGATGATTTTTCGAAATATATTTTTCTTATATATTACATTGCCTGAATTGTTGGATCCCAATATTTGATTCAGAATTATGTAGTGAAAATATTTGTTAAAAAATCAACGAAACTTCAAACATACACAAGAAGAAAAGCAATACACATAATATATATATATATACATCAAATCAAAACAAAGTACCAATAAAACTCAATTTCTAAATCTACTCATATATAAACAACAGGACTCTCACCGCTGTCCAAGCAAACAACACGATCAACAGTTTGCAACTCCTGCCTACCGCAAAATTAACTACAAACGTCAAGTTTGCTAAATCGATTTATGTTAAAAAGAAAATCTCACATTATCGATGGAAAAACCACACATATAAGGGAACAACTAGAAAAATGACGGCGAGGACATTCATAATGCATTGTTATATTTCGTCACTCTCACTAAAAAATATTTATTTTTATTATAGTAATTATATATATTAATACCATAATGTCTTTTTAAATTTCACGTTAAATTACAAATATACTATTATACTTAAAAAAAATATATATATATCAAAATTATCTTATCAATTTTTAATAATTAATAAAATATTATTATTTATTAATTTAAAAATCCAAAGGTAGCTAGAAACAAACATGTGAATGAAATAATAAAACTAAAACTAAAATTTTACAATCAAATACACTCAAATTTGATTTCAAATGTATACTATTTGGGCCTTTAAAGCCTGACATGACCGCATTTATTAATGGGCTTCTGGCCCAAAGTTTATTATAATGCTAATCAACAATTAGAAACTGGAAAAAAAAAAAAAAAAAAGGAAAATATGTGAAAATATAAAAATAAAAATAAAACCAAAAACCCTAGTGCTAACCCCTCGCTCAAGTTGGCATGAATTTCCTGTGAATCACTCTCTCCTCACCGTTTCCTTGATTGCTGCTCGCGAGACAAGGTTTGCAGATCGAATTCTCTCCGCCTGTTCCATATCCGCATCAGTTTAATCTGCATTTCTTATCATTGAAGCGGCCTGCTTCTAGAACAGGGTATTGAGGTGTTTTGAGCTTGTATACATCATGTTTTGTGTATCAAATCTCTGGTGAAGAGGAGCTGTATTTGAATTTATTACATTTTTTAGTGACGGGGAAGGGGTTTTGGCGTAATAGTTGTGACTTGAATTATGGCGTACGGTTTTTGGCTCTATGGTATTAGCAGAAGTTTGGGCTTGAGTTGTTGGGTATTGCCTTAGTTTTTATTTACCCTGACTGCTTTAGTTTTTAGTTATTGGATATATAATGTGTTCGTAGCTGGATTGATTGTCTCTGTTGATAGCTCCAATCCAAGACCCGTAACATCATTTTCTGAGATTGTATTGGTTTCATAATCTGTAATTATTGCTGCCTATGGCCCTTTCAGTCATCGATTGTTTCTTCTGCGATTTTATTTTCTGGTATCTTCTATAATGTTAACTACCTGTAGTTTATGACCTTTGGCTTCTTACATTTGCAATGCTAAAATCGTATTGTCCCCTCTCCCAGCTTATTCATGATTTCTTTTTCCTCATGGACTCTTGAGCTAAATCCTCATTTGTGATAATCTGTTACTGTTTCTGGCCTTTGTTGAGAACATTCCGTATGTAATTAGTCAATGTATCTAATGACTTGGTTGTTGTATATAGTTCTTGTTGTTTGATGACCTTAACTCTTTAGATGGGATGTTTGATGGAATTATTCTGATATGGTTTGTATGCAGAATATAGAAAATGAACTTGAACAATGTCAATGTTCCCAAGATGCCCGGTGGTGGAGCAGCCTCAGCCTTAATCAAGTTGGGAGTTGTTGCTGGGCTTGGTGTTTATGGAATTGCTAACAGTCTATACAATGTTGAGGGTGGGCACCGTGCCATTGTGTTCAATCGTATTGTTGGGGTTAAAGAGAAGGTTGGTCTTGTCTTGATATCTGTATCCTGACAGTTGCAAACTTTTTCAGATTTGTTGTATTTCTCTATTAGCTTTAAGCACTAGTAATGTGTTTCTAGGTGATTGCCTGCTGATATTTTACTGTTTTTATGCCTGAAGAAAAAACTTCCACTGTACTGTTCCACATTATGTCTTTACGAATGAATGATTATGGTTTGGTGTTTGTCTTCAAGCTATCCTTTGTCATGATATGGTATTGCTGCTGTGTTGAATCTAATAATTTGCATGTAAATTATATAAATTATGAAACTGTGAAATCAACCTACTTTGCTCTCAGCAAGTTGGTTCCAACTTGTAAATACAATATGTAATTAAATAAATGTGGAGGATCTCGAATTGTGTCTATAATAGAAATAATGGGATTTTTACATATTCTTACATGCAGGTGTATCCTGAAGGTACACACATAATGATCCCATGGTTCGAAAGACCAGTCATTTATGATGTCCGAGCTCGACCTCATCTAGTAGAGAGCACTTCAGGAAGTCGTGATCTCCAAATGGTAAACTCCTGTTTCATTTGCTACTTACACAATCAACCCACCCCCATAATGCTGCATCTCTAACCTGTTTATATAAGCATCTAGATGATTCTCTTTTGCATCTGTCCTTCTTCCTTTTAAGGACAAGCATATTTTGATTAAATTCTTTTATAAGCAGTGAATTTTATCCTCCTAACATGATAGTAGTTTAGTGTATTTTCTCATGTATTATAGCTAACATGGTGATGTAGTTGACAAAATGATACATGAGATATTTAGCTTGTGAGCAGCCAGCTCTCATTTTATATGCATATGGAGTAACATAGAAATATATATGGGTTTGCAACTTCGGAATTTTTATCTACTGACTGATTTCATTTTTAAAAGGTTGGAATTATGGCACTCAAATTGGAATTTCCAAAATCATACTCAAAATTAGAACATAGATTTCAAAATTTTAAAATTGTTTGTTTCAATTTTGAGTTAAAAAATATGTTATACTACCTCCATCCATCCCAAAGGTACTTGTTTTCTTTTGGGCGCAGCGTTTAGTGAATAGTGTATGGTAGTCGGTATTACTTATACATATAAAAGTTATTTTGGCCTTGATGTGTAAATTAATATAATGGTATTAAGGTAAATAAGTTTGAAAATATTTATAATGTGTAGTGGGGTCCATATTTACTTAAAGAGAAATAAATACTTTGTGAGTGGATGACCGCAAATGCAAAACAGATACCTTTATAGTGAACACAGGGAGTATGTACTAAATTAAATAATAAGGTGCAAATATATAACTACAAAGTTTGAGTTCATATAGAAATAAAAATGATGTTAAACCTTTTTGTTCTAATAAAAGTTAATTAAATTCTAAAATGTTAATGCATAATAATAATTTATACTATAATTCAAAAAATATTTATCCTAATTTTTTAAATTGACTTAATTAATTTGTTGGGACTTTTATTCAAAAATACAATAATATATGTATATATATATATATATGTTAATTCCAAGTTCAATTTGGAATCAAAGTTGATGCCAGGCTGTGGAACCAGAAGCTTCTGCTTAGGGCTGTCGATATGTGAAATGTTTTAGGTGTTTTTGTGGGGCATGGTGTGATATAAAATATCTGTGGTTCTGCTTTATTGGTTTGTATGGTAGTTAATATTTTTATTTTGAGAAGATTCAGGTATATGGACATTTTGCTGTTTTTTTGTTCCTCATTCTTTTTTCCTCAGCCGAGGAGAAATGGGGTTCTTCTTGTGGATAGGTGCTCAAATGGCTGGTAGCCTATCTGTTCTGTAGATACTGTATATATATACGGAAATGAAATTTAATTATGCTTTAATTTGTTGTAACCGGATGAAAAGTCTCATAATGCTTAAATGAGGCATTCTTGAACACCAACTCTGAAGACAGCAGTAGAAGTTTGATTATGCTGACTGGCTTGTCATTGACTAAGTTCATTATGTGGTTATTACAGGTTAAAATAGGTCTTCGAGTTCTCACTCGTCCGGTGCCTGATCAGTTGCCCACTATTTATAGGACTCTTGGTGAAAACTACAATGAGAGAGTTCTGCCATCAATTATTCATGAGACTCTTAAAGCTGTGGTTGCACAGTACAATGCTAGCCAACTTATCACCCAGAGAGAGGTAAGGAGCTATACTATATAGCTACATTACTAGCATGATTTTTAACAGCCATTATATTACCATCCATTTATTGGAAGTTTTGTCCATGTTGCTCATATGAATGTTTTTTTTTTTTTTTTTATTTATGTTTTGAGTTTTTGCTGATTTGTAAGGAATATGAATAGGATAATGATTAATGAATTCCTTTTGCAGGCGTTTTATTCTACGTCACATTTATTGAAATACATGAATAATTATGGCGATAATGCTTGTTGATTGATGACTCTTACTTATAAACTAACAAATAGCTAAAGTGAGACCGACTTGTTAGCCAAATTACGATGTATTTAAGGAATAATCCTAGTTGACGATGGAGAAGAAATCACCAAAATACTCAAAAATATGGTTTTATATAGGTAGGAGCTGTGTAGAAGTCATGGAATGCCGATCATCTAGAATTAATTTAAACACTTATTCTAGTTGCATGGTGTCTGAGTTTTAATAATAATGAAAATGAAGTTTGAATTGAATTTTTCTAATACAGTTTTTCTCGATGATGACTTGTGCAGCCTTAGCTTGATTTATGAACTTTTTTGTGTTAACAGAATGTCAGTAGGGAAATTCGTCAAGTGTTGACAAAGAGAGCGGCCAACTTCAACATTGCGCTGGATGACGTATCCATCACTACCCTGACCTTCGGAAAGGAATTCACTGCTGCCATTGAAGCTAAACAGGTCGCTGCACAAGAAGCTGAAAGAGCCAAATTTGTAGTTGAAAAGGCCGAACAAGATAAACGAAGTGCCATCATTCGAGCACAGGTAAGTCATCTTATACCATCATCATCATCTTATTTGTCTCTATTAATCATGTTTTAGCATTTTTGCATATAATTTCTTTTGATGATATCTAAACTATCATAATCACTCAACTCATCACGAAACTTTCACTTTAAACCTCAGGGAGAGGCCAAGAGTGCTCAGCTGATCGGCCAAGCGATCGCCAACAACCCGGCCTTTATCACCCTTCGCAGGATCGAAGCATCCCGGGAGATTTCTCACACCGTTGCTAGTTCGAATAACAAGGTGTACTTGAACTCCGATGAACTGCTGCTGAACCTTCACGACCTGAACAAGGAGCCCGCTGCTAAGAAGTAACTGCTCGTCGACATCGCACTGTGTCTTATAGTTTTTGGTTTTTTCCAAAAATTATGGTCAGCTGTGTTTTCAAGTTACGGTAGGTATCATTTGGACATTACAGCGACTGGAAGAATTGGAGTATCTGTTTGTTTGGTAATTTGATTCACCCTGAGGTTCTATAGAGGAGATGTTCTTCTGCGTTTTGAGGGAAAATTGCTTTCATATTTGCCCAGTAGTATTTACATGAATCTTATAAATAAATGGCAGTGAAACTTGGTGATCTGTAGTGGTATTTCATTGAAGCTTGATTTGTTGCTTTTGTTGAATTTATTCGTTGAAAGTCAATCAATTCAAGAAAAAAAGAAAAATTTTAATTTTTAAATTAAATTATTCAATTATAATCTCACTCGTTTATTATCATGAGCAAATTATTAAATTATAATTATTTTATATGATATAATAAATATATTAATAAATATTAATGCATTATAATCGAATTGTTGTATGGGACTTAATTGAGAGTTTTAATTCTAATACGACTTGTTTATTATCATGCGCCGAGGTAATCGTGTTGGAGCAATAGGAGGGTTTCAAATTACGGTCTAGCTGGCCTTTTTTAGAAGTCTATTCGGCCAATAGGAGGGTTTCAAATTACGGTCTAGCTGGCCTTTTTTAGAAGTCTATTCGGCCCGGTCCAAAATGAAATGTAAAAATTGAGGGTTTCGCCGAACGCCCATTATTCTGTGCAGGTATGAGATTAGAATGAAGTTCACGGATTCCCCGGTGGTTGAGCTCTCTGTTCACGACACGCTCCTCTCGATCCATCAGGACAATGGCTCGATGCACGTCGGAACCTCCGTCTGGCCCTGCTCCTTAGTTCTGGTCAAGTTCGTGGAGCGCTGGCAGCCGCTAAAATGCACTGCGGCGAACAATCCTTACGCCGACCTCTTAAACTTCACCAACAAGCGCGGGGTCGAACTCGGCACCGGATGCGGAGTCGCCGCCATGGGACTTTATCTGCTAGGCCTTCAGGATGTCGTTCTGACTGACATCACGCCTGTGATGCCGGCGTTGAAGCACAATTTGAAGCGCAACAAACCAGCGCTGAAGAAAACCCTAAAAGTTGCGAAGTTGTACTGGGGGAACGAGGAGCAGGAGAAATCGCTGAAACCGCCTTTCAATTTCGTGTTCGCGGCGGATGTGGTTTATCTGGAGGAGACAGTGGCTCCTTTGATTAGGACGATGCAGAGATTGGTGGCGGATGACGGCGTCGTATTGCTGGGCTACCAGCTGAGGTCCCCCGAGGCCCATAAATTGTTCTGGGAAATGTGTGGGGGCGTATTCGAGGTGGAGAAGATTCCCCATGAACATTTGCATCCTGAGTACGCCTACGAGGAAACGGATATCTATGTTATGAGGAAGAAGCGGGATCAGCTGCAGGATTCTTGAGGGGTCAGGAATTCACAATTCTGGTGAGACACTTCTCTGTATATAAAGATTGTTCATTATTGTTACCTTAGTGAATTGAAAAGGTGTTCTGATTAGTTACTGCTATGTGTTGAATTGTTTGGTTCAAAGAATATATTAGGAAGATATACAAGAATTAGATCACATGAGTGCATAATGCTTCTGTTTAGTTGTTTTTTGGATATCATTTTGCTATAGATTGTGGGTATGCTAATGCAATACCGAAGCTAAGAAAAAAAAAAAAAGAAAAAACAAAGCATGAAGAATAGAGAACTACTGGGAAGGAAGAACCAATCTTCCCTTAGCATAATTAGATTTGTATCTTCATCATGAGTTGCCTTCCCTGGCACAAAGCTTCATCCTTCATAAGTCCTTGAGGTTGTTTTTGGATTTGATGTTCCACATCCTCATTGAGCGCACTACTTTTTTTCATAGACAATTTGCCAAGTAAGCTCTTCTTGAGCTTTTAACTTCCATTGTGAAGAAGCTATATGATAAAAATGTCTATCACGACTCTCCATCCGAATCCGGACCTTTGTGATATTTCCAACTTTGCAACTTTGACTGATAAACCTTGCAACGTTTAGGGTCCTGCAAAATAATTGATTTCCGAATTACCGGCTGATTTCAAATTTAAATTGAAAAATCAAATTCGGTAATATGGTAATTTTTATGAAGTCGGAATTTTACAATTTCGAATTCAAATAAATAATTAATTATTATTAAATATTATATATACTTGAATTATATATTATTGGTTCTATATCAATATAATACTTCCTTAGTCGGTAAAATTATGTAGGTTTGGTTGAGATATGCAGACTAACAAATAATGATATTTTAATGTTAAAATTGGTAGGTAGGTAAAAAGTAAAATAGTACTACAAATGAATTATGCATAAGTTTAGCATATAACTAAAAAATGAATAGTGACATAGTGTTGGCTGACAGATGGAATATTTTATTTAGGTATACTATTATAAATACATATATTTATAGTCAGTATTTTTTAGTTATGTTTAATTATATTACTACAATATTTTAAATAAATTAATAATTTATAAAATTGTACGATAATATTCGGTAATAAAAAAAAAGTTTATTGAATTCAATTTAATTGCGTTTAACTTGAATTTCAATCAATTCGATGAAAACCGAATTTGAATTAATTTCAAGTTGGGAAATTGGACAATATGAATTTAAATGGAAATAAAATTTTAAAATATCCAAAAAATCCAATTCAAATATCCGAATCATTTTTATGCACACCCCGAGCAACGTTTCCATAGTGTCAAGCATCCCAATAGAGGGTTGCTTCATCTTTTATAGCACAAATTTCATTTCATCCTGCATCGAGCAGATTGGAATATTTGTCCTTGCCAGTGTTGTTTTTATTCATTTCAAACAACTTTTGATACTTATGAATCTATCAATCTACACAAGTGCATGAATCATTGTACTGTTGTCAAAATTGCAAAGGACTTCAAATCATGTGCATGTGCTTGTAAAAGTGGTGGAGAAGAACTAAACATAGTTTCATGAGCATATTCTCCACCGGTTTCACGAGCACACGCACATAGTTTAAAAGACTACATATAGTTTTTTTTTTTTTTGCAATTTAAACAGCAGTTCTTTGGTGTTTGATCCTAATGATACATGCACTTGTGTGGTTTCGTTTCATAAGCATAAAAAGGAAACAGCAGTGTTAGACAAATATTCGACACTACTCAATGCAGATTGGAATGAAAATGGTGTTATGAACAAGCCCTCTATTTTGATGCTACAAAATTATGGAAACATTGCGAGGCTTATCAATCATAGCTGCAAATATCATCAAGATCCCAGTTCGGATGGAGATTCTTGACAGGCATTTTATCATATCGCTCTCTTCAATTCAAGAGAAGTTAAAGCTCAAGAAGAGCTTACTTGGAAAACGGTGAGGAAAAAAGTGGTGCAATCAATCTGTGGAGGACAGTAATCAAAGGACTGCCTTTCCCTTTGCATAATTTGTGGTGCCTAATTGGTGTCTCAATTCTTTTGTTTGTTTTTGTTGTTTCGCTGTTTTTTAGATAGTATAATTCTAATAGTTTTCTGTCTATTTTGCCTTAAAATGCTTTTGTTTGGACTGTATTCTACACTAATACAAAATCATATAGAAAAGGCTATTGCAATTTCTGGATTATTATATGATGATTTTTTAAGTCAAATTGCGTGGAAACAAAAAAAAAAGAGTTGCAATAGTCATGTGGGCATATTGGTTGAGTGTGTTTTTTATACAAACATATGCTGTTTCGGAACTGCTAAAATGTGAAATGTGAACAGATGAATCCTGTGTTTATATCAAGGCTTAGTGTTTTGGTTTTGCGCCTGTTTATATTAAACCTAGAATGCAATCTTCAAATCATCGAATGCTCGACGTACCCCCTACACTGATTGATGTATAATATGCTAGCAAGTCTCTACTAAGTCGAGGATTTTGAATAGCAAAAGCATATTTCATACTTGCTAAGATTTCAATCTCGCATATCTTCATACAATAAGTTTAGCTCTTGACATTCTTTTTAGTTTATACTTCACTCTTGCACTTTCAGGTAAGGATCCCCGGTGGCCCGGGCCATGTCCAATACAGTCATCTGAAACGAGCCGATTCTCATTTGAGATTTCTCCAAGTTACACATATTTATCCTATATTCACTCAGTGGCTAGAGGTAGAAATAATGCTACACTAAATTTGGTCAGTTTTGGTACCATGAGTGTGTTGATATGGATAAGAGATAATTAGTGTATTCTAAAGGTAAATCATTTCTTGAAGTTGGCTGTTGAATAAAACATCTGTCACAAAACCTTAATTGTGGTATTTATGAAAAGTCGAAACTTATGCTATTTTAGAATTGTTTTAAACATTTATTGGCAACTTATGGTTACCCATGAAACGCTCATTCTATGATATAAATTCATATTTCATTTACCAATATTTAAGACCTCTTTTTATGTCCTTTTTTTTGTGCAGCAGCTACAGCACTAGAAGGTATTCTTTTAGATAAGCCAGGATACATACATATATACACAACAGTAAATATCAGCTATGGGATCCGTCGTCAGGGTCGACGAATCATCATCGATCGAATCCCGAAGTGCGCCGTTACTCGACCACAACCGATCGCCGCTGAAAACTCCAGCGCAAAAAGCCGTTCGGAAGGCTTTCAAAGGAACAGCCCACCTCTCGAACCTTCTCCCGACGGGCTCTGTCCTAACTTTCCAGATACTCTCGCCGGTCGTCACCCAGAACGGCGAATGCAGATCCTTCCTCCGGCAAATCCTGGCCGTCGGATTCCTCGCCTTCTGCGGGATTTCGTGCTTTCTTCTCTGCTTCACCGATAGCTTCCGGGACGAGAGGGGCAAGGTGAGGTACGGCGTGGCCACCTTCCGGGGGCTCAAGGTCATCGACGGCTCCCCCTGCGCACTTTCGCCGGAGGAAAAGTCGAAATTCCGGGTGAGGTTCGTGGACTTCATCCATGCAGGAATGTCGATTATGGTGTTTGCGGCGGTGGCGGTGTTGGACAAGAATGTGAGGAGGTGTTTGTGGTCGTCGGCGTCGGAGGAGGCGAGGGTGGTGCTGGCGGCGCTGCCGGTGGTGGTTGGGGCGATGTGCAGTGTGATGTTTGTTTTGCTCCCGAGCAGACGGCACGGAATTGGCTTTCCACTCTCACGCCATTGATCTTTTTTCCAACCTCCCTCAATAAATTTGATATATATATATATATATATATATATATATGGAATAGAATATTTGTAGTGTGTCCACCCAAAAAAGACATATATGTATATATATAATTTTTTGTTAAAAGTATATCATAGTATAATCTGATATGAAGAAATTGAATTTGGGTCAATCATTTTAACTCAATTTTAACTGAATTTGGGTCAAACATTTTATTAATTCGATAATGTATACGGGTTAATACGAATTCAATACGATAATAAACGAATCGGATTAATCTTTTTTTCGGGTTAAGATTGAGGAAACTGGTCGGGTTAGGATTAAAGTTTTAAGTTAATTTACATTGAATTAAATTTAAATAATTCAATCTAATTCATCGTACATTTTATATTAAAATCAACAAAAATTAACATGACAGTCAACACTAATCCAACACGATAATAAACAAATCGAATGAAATTGAGTCATTTAATCCGTTTAAAGTATTCAATCCGACATCGGTAGACGGCAACCAACAGTCGGAACGACAGCCAATAATTAATAATTCATGGGACCTCCCAAACGTTTGAGTGGCAAAACCTACGGCTATACATTAGTTTGAGTTTCTTGATTTGACAAATTCTTTTTGTTTAGTTATTGAAGCGTGGATATATAATATTGCATTATTCATCAAAAACCTCTTTTTCTTTTCTTTTTTTTTTTTCTGAAACAATCAAATTAAATATTTATTTTTTATTTAATTTAGTAATAATTTTATTCAAAATGTATCGTATATACGCAATTCAAATTTGTATTATTTTTAAATTTCAAATCTAAATAAAAACATTACAAAACAAACCTTTTGAGTTTCCGTACATAAAAAAAAAAAAACAATTATATTTAGATATTTCACAAAATTATGTGGTCAATATTCATTTCATTATTTTGTTAAGAAATATGATTGTTTTATTAAAACAATATATTTCTTCACAAAAATTTTGATTTAGGGTATGTTTTAATTTGAAAAATTTTGGTTTTGGTTTGGTATTAATATAATGTAAAGAAAAAATATATAGTTTTTTTAGGAAACTAAAAACCTGGGGGTTTTGGAAACAAACCCTAAATAATATGGTTTTCTTATGGTGTGTTGGTTTGGAGATTTGGATTTTGAGTTGGGATTTGAATAGTAAAAATTTTGAATTTGAATGGTTGTATGATGTGATATAAATAGGTGCTGACCTGATGTTTTGAATGTAAAATTGATTTTTAGTATAATATAAAAAATAAAAAATAGGTGTTTGATTTGATATTTTTGGAGAAAAAAAATTGGATAAATAGTATAAATCCAATCCAATCCCCCAAAAAAAACACACCCTAAAGTATACAATAAGACAATTCAATGAGTACATGGAAACGATTTTGTAATGAGTAAGAAACTGAAAACAAATTTAGGATTATAAGTTATGAAGAAATTATTAATATATATATATATATATATATATCTCATCATCAACATATTGCAACAAGTTTGATGCAGATGTACACTCAGGGTCTGTTTTTATTTTTTTATTCTTTTTGGATGATGTGAGAACCCGCAACCGCTACCCGAAAGTGCGTACTGGGTATCCCGGTCGAACCTAATATCTTGCAAACCAGGCCCGACGGAAAAGTCACACTAGGCGAACCATGTATGGCAGGTGACTGAGGTGTCGGGGGATTATTCAAGTATCACTCTAAGTATTAATAATCCTTTCATTGTTGTTGCTTCTTATTACAATGGTCCTTTATATCTACATAGCTCATGATTGTCAAATACATCTCTTATAACATAAGTTTTAACTAGTAGTGATGATTATTTCATCTTGAGTAGAACCTTGAGATTTTCATTGTTTGGTTAAAACAAACTTACAATTAAAACAACCAATCGAAACTAAATTCCAAAATCAAAATAAAAAAATTTGTTTGTGATTTTCACCAATACTTTCATTATTTCACAATTTTTTTCCTAAAAAATATCAAATTAAATTCTTATTTTGTATATTTTATAGTATACTAAAAATTAGTATTACAATTAAAAAGCTTCACACTGATATCTATTTATATAATACGAAATCATCATTCAAATATAACATTTTTATTATTCAAAACAAACTCAAACACCAAATCGAAATTTCAAACTCCCCAACCAAGCACACAAACAAACAAAAACATATTTGAGTATCGTTTTTTTTGCTCATTTTACATTGAGCAAATAATGTTATAAAGATAATACGTATACAAAATTAATTTCAATACAATATGATTATTTTTTTTATTTAAATAACAAATAATAAAAAGATTAAAGTATAAAACATTAAAATATAAAAAGCTATTTCATTATTAAGTAACAACATGGGCAAAATTTGGTTGCATTTGTAGGAATAATCCCTTGACAACAATATATAATGGGAGCATTGCATGGCTACCCTTTTTTCTCGATTTTTTTTTTTTCCATTAAAAATTGCTATAACTTTTAGATATCTTATTATAGATAGTGTTCTCACAAGAAAAAACATATAAAAAGACAACTAGCCTTTCAATTTTATTTTATATATTTGAAAACTACATAGAGAAAGACGTCGACTAGTCTTTCAATTTTATTTATTTTGGAAAAAAAAAAAAAAAAAAACATGAAAAGATTAACCATGCAGACATAGAAATTGTTTGGGTGTTTATTAATTAATTAGGGTAATTAGCACGTGAAAAATCTACATGTATCATATTATTTCAATAAATACAATATACGATGTTCGATGAGATCTTTAAATTTCTTCGTCAATGTTTCATCTAAATTGAAAAGTTAAAAAATAAACAAATTTGGGGTGCCTTTGATTTGTGTTTTATTTTATATTTTGATTTAAATAATAATTAAATATATTATTCTATGAGATCGAAATATTATATTTTTATAAAAAGTATATATAAGAATTGTACAGTAAAACAATAAAAAAGATGTTACTTAATGCTGTATTTATTTTTACAATTAAACTATAATCCAATCATTATTAAAATCATGTTTATGGATTGAACCCAAACTTAAATAATTTTTATCTATTTTTCTTCAAATTTGTATCTGGTCTAATAAACACACAATTAGATAACGGATACAGTATAAAAATAAATGATGTTGAAAAATAATGAAGTTGGCTCAAAATTAAATTTAAATGATAACATTAATATTTAAAGTAAGCAAAACAATCTTTAGTATCTAACACATAATATTGTAATATATAGAAATATGTTGATATGCAATTTATATTTTGTATTGTACTGTATACATATATTTATTACGCTAAAAATTAATATACTCTATCCGTCCCATAAAAAAAAACTTTATTTTTTTATTTTTGTCCATCCCAAAACAATAATACAATTTTCTAATATAGTAATTGTAGTATCATCTAACAAAATAAATATTCTTATAATTTTTAATATATTACACAAATATCTTTTACTTTTATATTACACAATACTAATAAGGATATTTTTTTATACTTTTCAGTACATTCTAATATTAAAAAAATCTACATAAAATAAATAAATACTACTCTTTTAACGGAGCAGAGATAGTACAATATATTTCTGAACACGGACCAGCACATAATCATTTGAAAAAATTCTTGATTCTATATATTAAAACACGGGCGTATTCCTAAAAACACACCCGTGTTTGAATACGTCTATAAAAATGGGCATATTTTTAGTCAATAGGAGCGTGTTTTGACAAAGAGAGATGGAGGATGTGATGTATTTTTAAACAGGGTCATATTCTATGTAATATGGCCGTGTTTGATCAAACTCAGTATTTCAATTTTTGTTATAGTCATATCAGTATATTTTATTAAAATTTAAATGGTAGAACAAAGAAATGCTGAGTGTTTTTTTCTTTTTTAAATAAAATTAATTTTGATAATTATTTTTTAATAGAATAAAAAAGTAAATAATTGAGACTACTATTAATTTTTTCTCAAAAAATATATTACATTTAATCTCATTACCTATAAGATTGATCATATTTAAAATTTGTTATTTATTTTACTTATGAAAGTAAATAATAATAATGTTGAAACAACAGGCCAAAGATACATGTCGAACAAATCACATGCTAATAGTAATAATAATGTATAATAACAATAAATGGTGATGAAGCTTATTTATAATTGAGCACGTGTTGACTTAACCAGAATATATATAAGTAGTACATAAAATATAAATTAAAAGTACAACATATACATGGCTGCGAATCTTGTGTGTAATTAATATATATTTACACATAATACAATATATATTCAATTATTAATATATTGACATATATATATAATTATATGCTGATTAAATGTATAATATAAGTTGATCTAGTCAAATTATATATATATATATTAGAATATACTCTCTTGGACAGAAATATATATATCTATTTTATTTTGCACATAGATTTAAATGTTATAATAGTTTATAGATAATAGTACAATAGAAAAAATAAAAAGACAATTTTATATTTAGATTCATTTATTTTTTAATGACATTATTTGTAATATTTTATAGAATGCATAATGAATAAATATATTTGAATTAGATAGACAAAAATAACAAAATAATTACATAAAAACTTAAATGAAGAATATATAATACTAATATAATGCATAAATTGATAGTAATTTATACCATGCATACTAACAATCTATACCGTAGTAGGATCTGTTTGTTTTGGTTTTATATATTATTCTATTTTCATTTATTGATTATGAGATAAGCACGTAACTATTCTCTACAATCCGATAAATGTGATTTGTTCCGACAGAGAGCCTTTTTTGACTGCTGTAATTATATCATTGTGCGGTGAAACCTCGAGTACCACGTTTAAAGTTGTAAGTCTCAAGTGAATCCGACTAATATGAGATCTTTTAGAAAATATTCAAAAATAAATTCGTGCGAACTCAATCCAAAATGGATAATATCGTACTAGTGTTGAGTTGACCGTCTCAAAGATTGTACCAATGTCTTTTCATCGACTTTTGCTCTATCTACCCATTAATATATCTATCTATATATATATATATATATTCGTCTTCCCAACGGTTCATATCTACAAAAATCCTGCTGGAACAATCTCTCTCTCTCTCTCTCTATCGGATAATATTTGAAAAGAGGTCATCACATGCAAAAGCTCGACAGATTTTTTACAAGTCTAGAAAAATGTTGTCCACAAACCACTTCCTACAAATACGTACTTAGCTTTGCTTAATTTCTCTTACACAAACACAGACACAGACAGAAACTCGAATCCAAACAAAACAATGGCGAAAAGACAAACTTTTGCACAGAGCTGCGCAGAGCCCTTCCCTCACACTTGACTTGGACACACAATTTCAATTTGTGGCCGACATCAACTCTCTCTCCTCCCTCTCTCTCTCTCTCTCTCTCTCTCCACGCTCTTTTCTCCATTCCCATTATTATTACACAGCAGTTCTTATTTCATCAACGAATCAAATTCATCGACGGTTTCTGCAGCACAATTTGTATATCTATATCTATATATATATATATTTATAGATATATAGATTGGGAATTAGCTGTAGGTTCTGGAATGCTTGCCGTGTCGCCATTGAGGAATCCGAACAATGGAACGGAAAACGCGTCGGAAGGTTTATTTGGAATGGACCTGTCGCTCGACGCCATTGATTTCGAGGACCTCTTCGCCGGAATCGACGAAGAAATGCTGCCCGATTTCGACATCGACGCCGACCTTCTTACCGAGTTCTCGCTCGACATCGACATCGACATCGATGCCGCCTCCTCAATTGCACAAATTCCGACCTCAGCTTCCGACACCATATCCGAGAATTTAACCACCGCCTCAAATCCAGACGATGAAAAACCCTATGTTGCATCCAACTCGAATTCGGGTTCGGATCTCGGGTCGTCCTGCAGCCCGGTTCCTGGAGAAGAAACTGTGGACGAACCCGTCGGAATTAAAGACCCGTCGCCGCCTAAGCGAGTAGATAAAAGAAAAAAATCTCCGTCGTCGTCGTCGGCGGCGGCGGCGAACTCCAAAAACCCCTCCGGGAAGAAGAAACCCAAGGTAATTGAATTAATTAATTAATTAATTAAGCTGAGTAATTATAAATATATTATATATGTATATATATGTGCAGCACGAGAATGACGAGAAATCCTAGCTTTGATTTACAGGTGGACTGGACGCCGGAGCTTCACCGAAGATTCGTGCAGGCGGTGGAGCAACTAGGGTTGGACAAGGCAGTCCCGTCGAGAATTCTTGAGGTCATGGGAATTGATTGCCTCACCCGCCATCACATTGCCAGCCATCTTCAGGTACAATTCCCTGAATTTTTATTTTCTTTTTTTTTTTTTTTTAAATTAAACCACAATTAATTAATTAATTAATTATATATTTGTAGAGAGCTTGATTGCTCTAAAAATGGTGTCTGCAATAATTACGCAGAAATACAGGTCCCACCGGAAGCATTTGCAAGCCCGGGAAGCCGAGGCGGCGAACTGGGGCCGCCGCCGGCAGGCGTACGGCGGCGCCGGGAAGGGAAATCTTGACACGTGGATTTTACCCACAATGGGATTCCCACCCGTGACACCACCACCCCCACCAATGCCTCATTTCAGGCCCCCCTTGCACGTGTGGGGCCATCCATCCGTCGACCAATCACTGATGCACACGTGGCCTAAACACGTCGCCCCTCCGCCACACACTTGGCCTCCTCCGCCGCCGCCGCCGCCCGGCGACCACCCCTTCTGGATTCCCCACCACCACCACGTATACGTTAATTAATTTTAAATATGAACTTAATTAATTATACGTATATGTGCTATAGCTCCATTGATCTATAGGCTATAGCTTATGTATATATTCATGTTTTTCTTGTAGATTCCGACGACGGGGACGCCGTGCTTCCCGCCGCCCCTGCCGCCGGCGGTAATGAGAAAAACTCCAATTATATACTAGACAAGGATATTTTGAACCCAGTTGCTTATTAAATTGAGTGTAATTTTGCTCGATCTATAGGTTCCCGGCGGAATACCTCCTCCGGTGGTGTACAAGGTGGAGGCGACGGCGACGGCGAGCCATCGGCAGGAACTGCCGCGCCCTCCGGCCGATGTTCACCCGGTGAGTTCTTTCTTTGCATTTACAAGTCCTTTGTTTGTCTGCACTTGTTATTTTAAAAAATAAATAAATATATCAAATTTAAAATTTACTATTTTTTATTTAATTTTATTATTCTAAAGCATTGTGTTTACTTCATTTTTAAAAATTAGTTTGTACTATATTGTTTTATTTAAATTTATATTTTTATTATATCTATTTATTATTTCACTTAAAAAAAAAAAAAATCTATATTCTCTTTTTCTTTTTGGGTAACATCATCCAAGTTATATTAAGACCTTACCAACGGCATCCGATATATCATGCGGGCCCCTAATTAATCCCAATATATCTATATATCTATATATATATATATATATATATTTATTTATTTATTTATTTATTTCAGTATTTTCTCCTATTTTTGTATTTTGTAAATGGACATTTTTTGCTTATAATTTTATAGGCTTCCCTCAATTTTTCACAAGGTCCATCTCAAAGTGGCTTTGTTTGTACGTGGTTCTTGGAGTTAATATACTAAAAAAATTCAAATTATTTTTATTTTTGATACATGAAAATAAGCAATATTTAGAATACAAAATATATACTCTCTGTCCATTTCATCACACGAATTTTAAAAAAATAATAATAATAAATAAATAATAAATAAATAGAATTCTTTACTTTATAGAATAAAGAAAAAGTAAACAAATTAGTATTTTTTTACTAACGACAATGACAATAAATAAATTTGAATAATAGCAACTTTTTTTGTAATATTTAAAATATAATACATATATATATATAACAGTCAAAGGAGAGCGTGGATGCAGCCATCGAAGATGTTCTGTCGAAGCCATGGCTGCCGCTGCCGCTAGGACTGAAGCCCCCGGCGGTGGACAGCGTCATGCTGGAACTGCAGCATCAGGGGATATCCAATGTGCCGCCTCCGATCATCCAAAATATGGCCTAATTAATTAACTGATCCATGATATGATCCAATATATATATATATATGTTTTGATCATGAGAAGATTAACTTCCTTCGTGAAAAGGCATTGGAGACGACGATCAAAATTATGAACAGGCGACTAATTAAACTCGACGACATGAAAAATTCGATCAAGAAGTGTAAATGAATTCATTTTTATTATAATTCTTGATGGACATTATGAATTAGTATATTTGCCATGTGGATTATTATATATGTATGAAACTACGAGCAATTAAACGGTCGATTTAAACTCGTTATATACATTTTGTTACATAATTATTTGTTTATATTGGTCTTATAATAAAATGATGCATATATAATATATATATATAGGTTTTATATTTGGATACAAAACCCTTATATATCGTGAGTTCTGCATTTTTATTTTATTTTTTACTTTTTTTTTTTTATTTACTAATATACTTTGCAGAAGTATTTACTATTTGTGTATTTTACCTTATTTTATTTAAAACTGGAAATAATGAAAAATGATCAAGCACATGAGCTAGATGAAGAGCATACTAGCTAGCAATTATTCCCTCAATGTAACAATATATGTCTTCATTTTATTTTTCTTCTTGTTATTAAAAAGTATTTTTTTGTTTCTCTCTCTCTCCATTTTTTTTTACTTTTTTTCTTTATTATTAAATCTCACATTCATACATATATATATATAGTATATTTTTATCATAATTATTTTATTTTAATATATTCTCTTCTAAGTAAGTTATATATTATCTCCGTTCGACTTTAAGAGTCCTATTTATCTTTTGCATGTTGATCTTTGAAATTTAATTATTATATAAAAATATAGTACAAATTAATAAAAAATGACAAAAATATTTATATTAGTGTCATATAGTACTATTATAATGATATTTGTGCAAAAAAGTATACAAATATAAGAATGTTTTTTTATGTTAAATACAATGACGTAAAATATAAATAAGATCCTTAGTGCCGAACGAAAAAAAATATTTAATTTTTATTTAGAAAAATATATATTATTATTTATATATATAAATTATTATATAATACAAAAAGCTAATCAAATTAACTTATTTTAGAATAAGGTAAAAGCTAATTGAGCAAGTTGATTATCAAACATACATTTTGTTTGTTTGGTTGAATTAAAAAGATGTTTAGTAATCAACTTATTCAACTGTATTTAGCTTATTTAATAGCTGAACTAATTAAAGTGTTTAAATTAAATTTTTGAAAGAGTTTATTAAATTTTAAAAACTAATTTCTAAAGGATATCTTACCCACCATTTCTCACACACATGTTAATATATATACTTTTTTATTGTATTATTTAAATTATTATTTTACTTTTACAAAATTAAAATAATTAATTTATAAAATATACTCCTTCCGTCCTAATACAATAGTCTTGTTTACTATTTTTGTCCGTCCTAAAATAATTAGTCTTATTTTCATAAATAACCATATCACTATATAAATATCCTTACTCTTTCATTATTATTACACAATTGTCACTACTTTTTACATTAATACACTCACAAGGGCAAAAATATTTTTTACTTATATTTTTTACCCACTATCAATATAATATCAATATTTATTAAATCTCGTGCCCAACACAACCAAGACTATAGTTGCCGGATTGAGGGAGTATTATAAATTTCATATTAGCAATAAATAGAATAAAATAAATTTATTTAAAATTATAAATATAATAAATAATAAATTAATCAATTATTAACATAAGATAGAAGAATTTATTTTTTAGTGTAAATTATATAACATCTCCTTATGTTTTTAGTAAAAATGCATAAAACACAATGTTTTATTTATTGCGTGAAACCTCTTGTGTTAATATAAAATTTCACAAAATACTCTTATTGTCTAAAATTGATGTTTGCTTCTAAATAAAAATCTAAATTATGCAAGTTTTATACAAATAAAAAAATGTAAATATTTTAAATATTTTTTTAATAAAATAAATAAGTTATCAATCATTTATTTTTATAGTTTTTGTAAAAATAAGATAACAAATTGTCTCTAAAAAATTATAAAATGAAGAATTAATCAATTATTTATTTATTTTATTTTATTTAAACAATTATTTAAAATATTTTACGTTTTTTATTAGTACGAAATTTGCGTAATTTAGTCTTTATTTAGAACCAAATATCAGTTGAGGATGGTGGGTGTTTCGTGTAAATTTTACATTTAACACAAGTGGGTTTCACACAATAAATAAAAGTAAACGGTAACCTTTCTACGGGACGGAGGGAGTATTATATTGATAGTTAGTAAAAAGTAGAAATAAAAGACTTTTTTGCCCTTACGAGTGTATAGGTGTAAAAAAGTAATTGTATTTGTGTCATAATAATAAAAAAGTAAATATAATTTTATTGTAATATGAGTATTTATGAAAATGATATTATTTTGGAACGGACAAAAAAATAAACAAGACTATTGTATTAAAACGAAGAGATTATTATTTTCAATAATAATAATAATAATAATAATAAAGTAATAAAAATATATTATATTTTTCAAAAATATCTAAAAATATATTATATTACAAACAACCCCAAAATAATTTCTTTAACAAAATAATTACAAACAACACCCCCTAAATAATTTTCTTTAATAAAAAGGTTAGCAAGGGTTTGGCACTATTTATTTTATTACATTTTTGGAATGCAGCATCACATTCAGTACAAAACATATGAAACATATGGTCGATGTTATAGTACTGAATATTAAAATATTGTATTGACTACACACCCATAATGAATGAACAACCTATAAATAATAATTTTACATATATAATATTTATTACATACTGCGGCGGATTTACAAAATAAATTTACTGGTTGCACAATATAAAAATAACGATTTTGACTCCAGCTTTAGTCCCTAGATCGAGGAGCTGATCGATGTACTCGACCTATAAACTTAAAAATAAAATAAATTATAAGATTCAATTTATTAAATAATAATAATATAATATTATTTTGTATATTTATGTTTTAGAATATAAATTAATTATTTTAATTGGATTGAATTTTAATTATTTGAGTATTTGATATTTTAAATTTTAAATGGAAGCAGTACAATTTTTTTTAGTGGTAGCACATTTATTAAATCATAAAATATTTCTTTTGATTAATAAAATCACTGGTGGCATGTGCCACCATTCCACAGAAGGTGGATCCGCCCATGTTCCTACACGCACCAAGTCATCTCTTACAAGACGATATATATAATATTTATATTAATATAATACAAATGTTAAAAGATGAATTAACTACACATACTTACAATTGATCTCCGTAAATGAAATATATAATTCAACATATATTATAAATATGAATAAACATAACATTGTATAATCCATCAACACAAGATATGCTGTATAATTTGAATAGTATAATTTGAACGCATATATCGTTGTATATTTTCTATGTGTTGGTTGGTCAAATCCGTAAAATTAAGTTTAAGTTTGGATTTAATTTAAATTTTATAAAAGTTTTACATTTATGTGTTTCTTTAAATCTATAAGTTTGATTTGAGTTTTGAAGATTTTGATATATTGATGTGATAGTTAATAAAATATAATGATGTAAACATGTATTAAATCAAATTTCATAAAAGTAATAATAATGTAATTTGAGTATTAATGTGTATTAATCATAAATAAATCTTTATATTTTTATTTGTTTATATTATATAAAATTTTATTTTTAGAAAATAATATATTCCCTCCGTCCCAAAACTATAGTTTGAGTTGTGTTTGGCACGGGATTAAAAGTAGTGACAATTGTGTAATAATAATGAAAAAGTAATTGTAGTTTTATAGTGATATGATTATTTATGGAAATGAGACTGTTGTTTTTTTACCAAAAAAACTGATAAATAGGACTATTGTATTAGAACGGAAGGAGTATATCTTATATATTTTATTAAAAAATAATCAAATAATTAATTTGTTACACTTTTGCAGCCGGTGCAATTCTTTTCATAAATTAAAAAATAAAAACAAAACAAAACAATGCGCACATCTACACGCTAAGGCTTACTATGCACAGTAATTTTGGCCAAATCAGCCCAATAGAAATAGAAACATACCCTAAGGTGCGTTCGGTAAATAGGATGAAATTGCAGAAAAATGATAATAGAGAATGAAATTGCAAAGAAAAGAAATTCAATATAAAATGAGAATTGAATTGTTTGTTCGGTAAAATAGAGAATTCAATTGAGAAATATAAAAAGAAAATATATACAATGCATAAATAGAATATGTTATATTGCTAATTGAAAAAAAAAAAAAAAAAACATCGATCATTAAAAAATAATAAATTAGATAAGAAAATTATTAGTATATTTTTTAGTTATATTTTTAGTTTGATCATTTATTTTAATAATAATCTAGATATGATATTTTATGAGGTTTGAATAATATAAAAATGGCAAGCATTATATAATAGTAAGAAAAATTAAAAAGAGTAAACAGAAAATAATCGTAAAAGTTAAATATAAAAAAATAAAATAAGTAGATATATAAACACACTGTACTATGTTAATTTTATTTCTCCCTCATTTTGTAAAAAGATGATTTATTTCTCAATTTTAAATTCTTTGTCTCAACCAAACAAGAAAAATGAAGATATGATTTATTTCTCATTTTTATTTCTCTATACTAAACACCCTTTTAATGTTTGCTTGTGAATTTGATTGTTGGGTATGAATTTTTTAATAGTAAATAATTAAATTTGAATAGTTATTAAATGTTATATAAATATATATTGAAATTTGAATGTAAAATTAATTTTAAATATAATATAAAAAAAATAATTATTTCATATTTTATTTTTTTTCAGTCAAAGTACTATTTTTATCATTTTATGTATGTTCCATTTAAAAGTATTTTTTTTATTTTACTAAAAATAATCATACATTAATACCAAAATACTCTTAAATTTTACATAAATTACAAATATATTATTTACACATATAATTAATTTATAAATAAAGACGAATGAGAAAATATCAAACCTCTTACACATTATTTAATACTTTTGAAAAAAAAATAAAAATTGATAAGGAAGTATGTTTGATTAGTATCTGTATTTAAATTTTTGTTTACAGATAATTTTGTTGTAATATTTTATAAATAAATATAATATATTTGTATAAAAATTATATCAAATAA